CATCAGGCAGTCACGTTTCCGCCCTGCTCTTTAAATGGGAGCTGGTTTGATTGGACAGAACTAACGACTCCACCTGCTCCCTCTAATAATCTTTCCCCCCCAGAACATGCCCAGTAAGTGCACTGTCTGTGGTCACCAAAACACAGCCTGTTTTTAGTTTTCATCTAGTCTTTGTGTGAAGCGCCATTTTAGTTTTTATTAGTTTTAGTCACGTTCATACTCTTTTTAGTCTAGTCAAGTTTCAGTCAACTAAAAGTCTGAGCATTTTAGTTTTATTTTAGTCAGAATTATCCATGAGTATTTTCATGTAGTTTTAGTTGACGAAAACTGATGACATTTTAGTCTAGTTTTAGTCAATGAAAATTGTATTTTAGTCTCTTTTTAGTAATGCAATTCTATTTAACCCAGTCAATATAGTACAAGTACCTAGTAGTATAGACGAAACCAAAATTTTCTTTGAGCCAAACCCATTTCAAACAAGGTTATCTTATTATATTATTGTTACCTTATAGACTCAAGAATACATCCAATACACATTTTGTGGCCGCATTTCTCCCCATCTTTTTCCACAACACACTCCATTTTCTTTTCCATTTCTATGTAATGAAAGTTTTTCCAAATGTCATTTCTTCTTTTTTTTCCCCAAAGACGAACCCCGGCTGGCCGGCCGGCCATCGGTCCCTTTCTCTGCGTCAGACTTAACTTTGTTTGTTGTCGTCTTCTAAACAATGCCGTGAGTGGGGCATCTGCGCAGTGCGGCCTGATGCTGCCCCTGAAGTGAGACACAGGAAACAGAAAAGCTGCAAAATAATAATAACGCAACTAAACGAGACGAAATAATATTATAACATTTCGTTTCGTCTCGTTTTGGTCAACGAAAATGAAGAGCCATTTTAGTATAGTTTTAATTTTGTAAACCGCATTTGGTCTCGTTTTTTTCATCAACAATATTGCATTATACATTTAATCATAGTCATCGTCACACAACCAGCATTTTTGTTGCGTCTCATCTCGTTTTCGTCATGTGATAAAGGTTCGTTGACGACGATATTTAGTCATAATTTTCGTTGACGAAAGCAACACTAGTGATGGAAAATGCAAATCAGGATGCAAAAATCCCTCGTTTAGAAAATGTGTTAAACTCATTGTCACTCTTCAGATTCTGCAGCCTGGCTCCTGTGAGGCCAATGTACAGTAGAGACACTGAGTGACTGAGATGAAACGTCCTCATTCATTTGATATGTAAATTCACTCATTTAAAATGTCCTAAAACTGTATATCAACAAAACATCCTTCCTGTAGAAATTAGTATCTGACTCTTGATAGAGTGAGTGTGTTGCTAGTAAAATGTGGCTGTATCATGACACTGGCTGTGGCAGATATCAAACCTGTCTTTTCAGGTCCTGGACTATCTCTAGCTCTCAGCCTCAGTGTGTGATTCCAGGTTTCTTTTACCATAAACACTGTTTTCATATCATTTGTTCAGCGCCATGAAAATGTTTAGTTAACCTGAATAATCCTCATGTTGATATTCTTTCCTCCTAAGCAACATTTTTTCTTTTTAAAGTAAAAATCTAAAAACATGACAGCAAACAGCACAGCGAGTGCTTTTTCTATTTTTGCTGCAGTTGTGGCCAGACTATCACATATTTTCCAGGTTGTAAAAGGTTTACTTTATGGTTAATAAGTATGCATTGTGAAATTTGGAAATGATGGATTGTATAAAACTAAGCACACACACACATTTGTTTTCATTTCTTGTGTCGACTTTTCATTGAGTTACATTCTTTTCTTGGAGATTTATCCTGATGGGTTTTATCCTCTCAGGTGCACTAGTGTTAGTGTAACCCACCTATAAGGTAAGGGCCCTGAGTTCAGTTAACTCACAGTAACTATAACTGATGAATCTTAAATCTCTAATAAACCTCTCTACATTATATGCCCTTACATCCTGGAGTACTGTATGTAATAACCAAATGTGTTAGAGTTAACGTTTCTTCATTTACTCAACAGAAAATCAGTAAACCATAAACAATAACAATCCCTTTTGCAAATATATTTAACTCTCTCCTCTGTAAAACACACTTTTCAGTGTTTCAAATAAACACACATATAGTGGGCCCACACACCACACTCACACTCACACTACACCAGCTGGCACATATATTGAGATTTAACCCCCTACAGGCTTGATGGATGCTCGGGTGCGGTGAGGCCAAAAACTAAGCAGCCATTTCACTCATAAGAGCCAAACAAAAACTGTACCTTATTTAGTAGTTTGTAGTGCAGAGAGTGAAGCTTTACCTCCTTCATGTGTCCAAAGAAATGATAAAAGGGTCCTAGTAGTCCTCCGATGGTGAAGTAGTCACAAGTCCTCAGGTCCAGATGCAAGCAGTAGTGGGAAGGTCCGGAGTAGCGGCCTCTGTTGTACCATCCAACTGGTCACTCACGTAGCACTGTATCTGATAAGGTTGATGAATTACAGGTCGGAAAAGATAAATCCAGTCTTGGGAGTAAGCTGAGTTAGCTATACTACCGATACCAACATTCATTTAGCTAACGAATGCTAGCAAGATAGCCAGACACAATAACACTACACAACTGCAAGATAACTCCGTGCAGAAGAATATCCAGTCGTGTACTCCAAATGATGTAGAACCAATATCTTACAGCAGATTCTCGAGTTGACAGTCTAAGATACAGTCCACAAAACGCAGCACATTTCACGTCTACATAAACCTTCACCAAGTTAACCTCTTCCCCGCTTCCTTTTTCTTCTTCTCCCTTATCCCTGCGTGTCACTACCTTTACCAATGGATGACCAATGACGATATTTTACACACTTCCTTGAATCAATGAAATAACATGAAATGAATCACCATAAAGCTTTCCATATGTATTTTATGAAAATCAACTTATTTATAGTAACTATTGCTCAAAAGCAAACACACTTTCTAAGGATGTTTAACTATAATACATAGTATTTTTACCCAGGTTACACCAGTAGTTTAGAGAGTTTTGCAGAGAAAAGTGTGAATTTATGTCAATGTTAATTCAGTGTCAATGTTATGTTAATTCATTTTGTGATCGCTTTGAGTTTCAACTCTAAACGTTATTGACACCACTGCACCTCTGACACCAAGGACAAACATTCCAGCTGTCACAAATCAGAAAGGATAGATCACAAAAGCTGAGTGCAAATGGAGAAAAAGTAATCTTCAGATTCATGATGAGGTCTTTAGAATGATGTTTCACATTTACAGTACAACTCTGAAATTAATATGGGTAAACAAGTTAATGGTTAAACATATGCAATGGTGGAAGTGCACACAGGATTACCATTAAAAGCTGCACTGCCAACCATGTCTGTTTTCTGCATGTGCATTCTCTCCATTTATAAAACGTGAAAACACAATCAGCCTGTTGTCATGTAAAAGATTAAATGTACTATTTGAACATCTCCCGATTCATAGCTACCTCTCTATCTGAGTCTAATGCAATTTTTCAGCCTTAAGGTTTGTTTTTTTTCAAACTTAGGCCAGTTATTGTGTATGAAGTGTCCAGAATTTGTCTCGGAAAGATGCTTCCTTATCCATATTCAGGGATCATAGACGGGACTTGTGTAACTCTCTTTCCCACTCCAAACCAGATTCCTCTTTGGCCCAATCCCATTTCTCCTCCTTTCCCCTACACTTAGCCCTACTCCTCTATTTTGTGTGTTCACAAAAAACTGACCACAGCTTAAGAAGGCACTGTGTGATTCAAAATTTCAGACAGCAACTCAGTGTTTGTTCACTTAACCACTGCCATTAACTATCGATAGAGGTCTTGAAAAGTTGTCCCATTTCACAGGGGAAGATTTCTACCACTACTCCTTTCAACTGTTTTCAGGGTTAACATAAAAATGAGGGGGCATCAAAAAACTAGGGATAGGGGTAAGAAATAAGAAATGGAATTAGGCCTGTGTCTAAGGCTACAACTGTTAATATTCAACGACTCCCCCCCACTGTCTGGCCCTAGTGTGGTCACCGTTGTGATTGCTAACCTCCATTTTGCCTCACAGATCTTTTCTGTGCTATGCTGTGTCAGCAAAACCAAACCTCAACCTCTTCCCCAGCCTGCACCACTTGCAGTCAGTCAACAGTCTTTCTTCCTGTCAAAAGTAGGAATGGCAGATCTCTCTACTGTGCAAACACCCACTTTTCTCATCCGCTGCAGTCCATCAGATTGTGTGTTTGCCTGTTACCACTGGTCATGCTAACAGTAAGTCAGCAGCTCCTGTGGCTACTATCAGGCCAGCTAGCCTCCAACTAGCACCAGCTCCAGCTAGCGTCAAGTCTACTAGCTCCAGTTCTGTACTTCTCCTGTCTCTGCCAGTTTCTAGTCGGCTGCAAGGAAGAACCACTGACCCCCATACAGGGGACTCCACAGTTACCCAGTGCCCCGAGCTACAGGCCAAGTCATGCATCACACTCAAATTTCAGGTACAAAGATGCAGCATGGCCAAACTGCCCCACAACCCTCAGCTCCAGGTCCATTCATGCTACACATCATGGCCACAGGCTGTGCTCCAGGCCCAGCCATGCATTGGTCCTGAGCTCCAAACCAAACCACAGGTAAATTCCAAGCCACACAGTGTGCCCAGATTCCTGGTCCAGCCTGCCATCTCCCCTAATTCTGGTCCCTGTCAGCCTATGCTTCCATATTCCAGTTCCTGCCCTTGCAGCCCTTTAACCTAGTGAAGCAGCTGCTCCTTGGCGTCTCCAAGCCACACTTCTCTGCACCAGAGCCACAGTCCTCATGTGCATTGGAGCCTCAATGTTAGGGTTGCCTGCTGTTTCTCCCTCTGTCTCTCACCTTCCTATTGTTTCTCCTCTCATTACAGGCACCTGTGGGCTCAAGTCGACATCAGCAGCTGTCGCACATCGCCCTGATTGTTTGCTGGGCTACTTAATTTGCTGGCTTGGGTCTCCTGGTTGCCAATCCGTTATGGTTACTTACCTGAGACGTCTGGCTTCTGCTTCACCGCAAACTACTCCTGAAGACCGGCTTTTTCCTTCAACCTCCAAGTGGTGTCCGTTCTGTTTCCAGTGCTCGCTACTAACTCGCATCCTAGCTGTAACACTCACTTCACTAGCAGTCAACTGAAGATCTCTGTGAAGCTACTGTTTTTTCACTGTTCGGTGGTAAATGCTTACACCACTGGCAGCCAACTCCAGAACTCCATTTAGTCACTATTTTCTCACTGCAGACACTTACAACTAATATAAGAACTTGATTATTGAACTGTTTATCTCACTGCCTGGCTGTGATGCTGCTTGCAGCCAGCCTATACTCTGCTCTATTATTGTTTGATTCTCTGAGTAGGCTGGAGGATTTTCTGGCTACACCTCTCCAACTACCTCTCAAGCGCATCAGCAACCCATTGACGGGCAGCATGCTCCCTGGTCCTGACGGGCTCTGCACCTCCTCTTCCACCCTCCACTCTGCTAAGGTAATATCCTTTCAGTGCTCTGTAATGGGGAAGGATGCATATTCAGTTATCTATGCCTGACCTGCTGCTTTTCTCTGTCCACCGGGTGCACCTTGAGCCTCTGGTTCTCTGTCCTGGTCCGCATGTTCCTGTCATGATTCTGCCCCGTCCGCTTCCTGTATCATGCTCTTAGTCTGATACTACTTCCTGTCCCCAGCTCACCCTGACTCCCCGGAGCATTATCTCATCACCCACATTGGTTTCACCTGCTCCTCAATTACTCACACCTGCTTACAACAGCATATAGCAGCTTCTCACCCAGTGGTAAGCTGCCAGATTGTTCTATGCCTTCCATGACTTTCCAGCCTTTTCTTTTCTAGCTTTCCTGCTATTCTGAGATTGAGATCCTGCATGTATTACCAACTAATGATTCTGCCTTGCCCTACCTGTTAGACTGCTGTAGACTTCAACCGGGTTCACATCCCCACACCTCACAGGAGTGTTCAACAGCTCCTCCTGAGTTTCTCCTTGGTTTTCATGCCATCCTGGTTCTTCAACCTGGTCCGCCGCTCTGCTGCCGGCCCTTCAATTACCTGCTAGCGCTTCTGGAGCTCACAGTGAGCTCTTCTGGTTTTTTCCTGTCCTGTGTTGTTCCTAGAGACCTCCCTAAAACCTAATAAACTTCTTTCACTGTAACTAACCAGCTCTTAGAGTCTAACTAACTCACCTTTTGGCTACAGCAAGCCTAACACTCAAGCCTCCTACCCATCAAGGTCATCTTTTCCCCTGTGTTCCAGAGCCTTGGCCCAGCCATCTAGAGCCTCAGCTTCGTGGTCCATCCTTGAGCCTGTTCCTGCCAGTGGGTTGACCCATGCTGCCAATGTCACATCCCATCTTGTTTGTGCCAGTGGCTCAGCTGAAGTGGCTGTCGCCATGCTTATTCCCGAGCCTGTCCTTAGGTTGGCCATAAGGTAGGTAGGTACTTTATTGATCCCACAGTGGGGAAATTTCTGCCATAACCATAACCATAGATTTACAATAATAATAACAATCAATGCCATGCCTTTTTCTGAGTTTATTCCTGCCCCTGGGTCAGCTGTCCCCACTAACACCATGCCAGTTCCTCTTCCTTGGTCAGCCTCCCTCTTTGACATCCATTCTGTTCTCCAACAGGAGAAGGAGTTGGCTTCCTCAGCTTTGCAGTGTGCTTCTGACTTGACCTACCTGGTTGATGTCCAGCCTGAGACCCAGGCCATTGCCAAGCCCGCTGTTCAGCCTGTTCGAAGTTGGCCTTCCTGGTCAACATCCAGGCTGCAGCCCAATCTGTTTGCCAGCATGCTGCAGAGTCAGCCTCCCAGAACAGTGCTCCACCTTTGTGCCAGTCTGCTGCTCAACCTTCTCAGGAGTAGGCCTCACTCATCAACATCCAGTCTGCTCTATAGTCAGTCAGCACCCCCTGTTGATGTCCTGTCTGCTGTTCAGCCTACACCAGGGGTTCCTAATGTGTTACCGTCCACCTTACTGTATTCCCTTTAAAGGGGACAGTGTGCTTAATGGATCATCTGCATCTTATATGTTCTTTCTGTTCTATTTTAACTCCTGTCTAAATCCTGTGATCTATGCCTTGTTTTATCCCTGGTTTAGAAAATGTGTTAAACTCATTGTCACTCTTCAGATTCTGCAGACTGGCTCCTGTGGGGCCAACGTACAGTAGAGACACTGAGTGACTGAGATGAAACTTGCTCATTAATTTGTTCATGAGTGAATTCACAAATCTAAAAAGTGAATTTATTGTTTATTCCTTAATACTGTATATCAACAAACCAACATTCCTGTAGAAATTAGTATCTGACTCTAGGTGTCTGACTGCTGATTGTCAGCTTCACATAACTTTTTTCATTATTTTATTTTTTAATAGAAATGGTGATTATATTCAATATTTATTGATAGTGTGAGTGTGTTGCTAGTAAAACATGGCTGTACCGTGACACTGGCTGTTGCAGATGTCTAACCTGTCTTTTCAGGTCCTGGACTGTTTCTAGCTCTCACTGGACGTGTTGTCTCTCACACTCAGTGTGTGATTACACATAGAGGTTTTGTTCCATGACTGTGGGTATTCTTTACTCTGTTGTTTTTTTTTTTTTGGTAATAAGCTCTGTGCACTATTTTCCAATCACTGTACACTATCACCCACTGTCATGTAAACTGTGGATTAACATGATTAATCCACACATTTAAAGACGTTTCCCTCGGCAGATGCTGCAGTTCCCCTCAGCTCCACACTCCATTTCATTGACTTTTAACTTGCTCCTTGCTTTTGTAACCCACAATTATAAAGTTTTTTGTTGACTGTTGTTGTCAGGTGGGCCCACACTAGAGGATTTTATAATCTTAACTGATTTTGAAAACATGAGACCACAGACATAGCAACAGATTTAATAAATTTTTCGCATTTTAATCTTAAAAGCACACACTACATGATTCAGTCAAGAGGCAGGACCACACACTTGCTGTTTTTACTGAACAATGCTGATTCCTGGGACCAGGGGTCTCAGAAGCTCTTGTGATCAAACCTGACTTTATAACAAAACAAACATGGAGGAGGACAGTTGTTACAAAGCAGTGGAGCGTCTGTGTTTTGTGTTTTTTCACAGTGAAACGGTTAGGATAAACACTCGCACACGGAAGTGAGTGAGCAATAGAGAGGCGGACCCAGGTAGCCGACTTCAGTGCAAGCAGTGATTTATTTAGATACAGTGCAGTAGAGTGAACAAACAACAAGCAGGTAAATGATAACTGAATTGGGGGGAAACCGGGTGTTGACCAACAGCAGGAGTTCATGAGAGATGAGCTGGAGTGTGGTGGGCCGAGCTGGGTCGCGGGGTAACTCCTGAGCTGGCCGATGAGATGATGGTAGATGCTGGAAGAAACAACAGGCAGAGAGGAGTTGATATGGGAGAAATTTGGTGACTGTGCATCGACCTGTCTGGGAAGGTAGAGTGGAGCCAAGGTCTGGAGGAAACAGGCAGTCCAAACCAAAAATGAGAGAATAACAAAAATAACAAAGCTGACTAGGAGAGACACATAAGCGACAGGAACCAAGGTAAAAAAAAAAACACTAAAGCACTGGGATAACGAAGACAAAATAACAAACGAGAAGTACTGGGCAAAGAGATCAGGTGTAGGCTAGAAACGTGAACGAACTGGCAAGTGAGTGAGAGGTGAGCTGGGTATAAATAAGGGCAGACTA